CACACATTTGCAAACCGTACATAAGAGGGCATAAATAAAAGCCAGAAACTCCACACACTCACACATCCTTCCCGTGAATGCCAACAGCAGAGTCGCAAAAAGGTTTTCTGCCAAATAACCTGCAGCTATTTCAAACATAAACAGTCTCACACTCCCACAAAGGCACACACACAAGCACAGATGCCTATGTGTGTACTTATTTCCATTACAAATGAGCTTATTATGCGCTCAAGTCACAAAGTCATTGCGACTTAAAAGGATTTGCATGTGATTAGCAGTACGAAATGTAAACAAAACTCGTGTGCCAAAAAACAAAAACATCTTGCAAATGGGTGGCCTAAAACGACTGGTAAATACTCTTTAGAAAATTCTTTACAACAAATTTTGCATTATATTCAAATAGCTTATAATTAATTATAATTAATTTGCAAATTTAATTATTACCGGTATTTTCTTATTAAGATAAAACATACAAAATGAAACAGATTTGATATAAGGATAAAAAAACCTAGAGAACTTGTCTTATGGAATAATACTGCTTAAACGATTTATACCAACATATTATTGATTGATCTCACAGAACCTACAAGATACTAACCTCGTTTTGACAATAGATTCAACAACGTTAGTTAAATATATGTATGTAGTACGTACCAAATTATGAAATGGTTTATAAAGTACTCTTTTTTATTTGTTGCGAATCTCTCTTATTTATTGGTGTTTCTAACGCTTGGTATTCCCTTCAAATACAGGGTGTGCAGGGCAAAAGCCAAGACGATTTGTACGCACTTGCCAAGTACATGTTACACGTGTGTCTGCAATGAAACGTACGAATGTATGTATGGTGTATTTGGGAAATTGCCGGAAGCGGAAAAGCGCGCCGCATAAAAACAATGAACACATCATAATCATAATTTTTGTGGCCTAATTTCAGGGGCCAGTGAGTTAGAGCCAAAATTTGGTGGGTGTCGTATACCTAATTTGGCTAGCTCTTTATTTCTCGATGCATTAAATGGCCAGCTGAGGGTGTGGGTGCTCTGGCCTTGGTCCGCGCATCTGGAAAAGTCTATCCAATTGGATGACAGCGGGCGGGAATTGAAGCGGATTCTGAGCTGAGAACACGGTCTGTGCGCTTCGATTACCTTGCATAATGGGCGACGTCTTCTTTTGCATAAGCGTCGAGAATTTGCACAAAAGACGATGGCAAATAGAAAAGCACTTATTCGCTTTTCCAGCTGAAGGGCAGGGGGTTGGGGTTGGGGTTGGGCTGTCAAGGCTGTGTAATTGAAGCCGACTTGAAAGTGTTGCTCCAGCTTAGCGACGAAAGAAAAAGTGGAAAGACGCTGGGCTGACAGAGAAAAATATCGATTTTTTTGGCGACAGGAAAGGCTTCTTTCGGCTGAATAAAATATGCTCTCTTTTTCGGCCACCTTTCCTTCATGTTTTCGATCACATTTTGAATTACTCCTTCAGCAGAAGCAGCATTATAAATACATAGGTATAATCTATATATTGTATACCATCCGTGAGTATGTTTGCCGCCCGAATTATAATGACGTCAAATGGAAGCAATGACTTGCACTCACCCACCTGAGAAAAGCAGGAGTGAAAGACCAAGGAAATTATGCCAGACGGAGCATGAATGGCCCGATGGAGCGGCTCGAGCTGAGCCCATTGAAATGGAACTTGGCACAAAAGACCAGACTAAAAGTTTAGCTAAAAGCCAGATAAATAAATAAACACACCAATATAAGTATAGAAAAAAGAGATTTGGGAAATTGTTGTGCTTTTGAATAAATAAATCGGAGAGCAAATAAAGGTGAATGCCAAACAGAGAGCAGACAACAATGAGCCATGATGCCGCCCAAGTACGCATAAGTGAGCCGCCGCTGCAGATTCCCACTTCACTCCACTCCAGCCCACTTCCGAGCTCTTGGCCAAGTTTAAGTTGCACACACAGACGACGCTTGTTTGCTTTAAAACCGGCTAAAAATGTGGAGCAGCAGCAGCCCCATCTCGTCAGCCAAATTAAGGATGTACAGCACGTGTGCTTAGCCCGCTGGCTATTAAGCGACACTCCGGAACGGCAGAGGGGAGCAAACTGTGCATAAAACTCAATCAAGTCGAGACAACAGCCAGCACACATCAATGGCCTTTACATACTTGTCTGCCCTGCACTTGGCAAAAAATTTAATCATAAAACACATTTTATACAAAGCATTTGGGTATGAACACAATATAACAGGCTCCTTCACAAACTTAAGATCCTGGATTAAAAATTAAGAAGCTTAAGACTGTCTAAAGCGTTATGCAAACAGTAATTTAGAAAACACATCGAAACATAGAAAAATATATTTTAAAACAAATTTATTATGGTTTCATTTTTAAAACCCTACTTTTTAATACAACTTTAATGAACACTTTTATTAATAATAAAATAAGCAATATTTTATATTTATTTTAATATTTTGGTAATACAATATTAAAATTTCTTGAGTCATAGTTATTTATTTCTCAATGGGTTAATGCCAATATTTAGGATTTTCAAGACATTTAGTTATATTTTTCCGAAGTGTTTCTGCCATTGTCCCTGCAGGCATGTCAGGCTCTAATGCAAACTGTGACACGCTCTGAGGCCCCAGCTGCACACGGCAGCTCCTACTCCTGCTCCTGGAATTATCCTGGAGTGGGAAGCGACGGGAATGACAATGGCACAAACCAGAATCCAATGTTTTGGCAACAAGACACCAGAAAAAGGGCAAGCAAATGTCGCCCCAACTCCCCCATATTTGCCCTTTTGCTGCTCGGGGCCTTTGTGAGGTGCCCGGAGAAAGTCAAATAACTTAGGCAAATGCGCAAAGGCCGAAAGAGTTCTGTCTCAGCTCCGCTGTCAGGATGTGGCCCCGAGCAAGTGATTCCCCTGTCTTGGACGGGCTTCAGCCTGCCATGCGTGGATCTGCGATCTGGGACCGACGCTAGCTTACGTGTTATATTTTTAGATTTCATCGTTGAATGAGTTTTAGTAACACTTGAATGACAATAACATGATATCTTCTAATCATCTAAAAATATATTCATTTCCTGTGCCATCCTTCTTCATTACCTTTACACTTTTTTGCATTGTAAAACAATCTGTACAAAGAGAAAAATCATTTTTTCTGATAAAATATTATGTTGAGGCTTTGAAAATAATGTTTACTCAATTTTTTTTCTTTGAAAAGCCCCCATTTTGTAACATTTTCGTGACATTCTTTGACGAATTTAGGTTTGCATTACTAATTCGATTACAAATTCTTACAGCAACTTGATTTAGAATTATGAATACATTTGGAAAAATATAACAAAAAAATATAAAATATATAAACATATATTTAAAGTATGAGAAAACATTAATTTTAATCACCTAAAATTGTAATAAGATACCTGGAAAATTGTTCGCTCTGGGCAACGACAATGCGAATAGTTGAAAATCCTTTGTTCACATACTAAGCACTTTTTAGTTAGTTTTTCAAGTACGTTAAAATCGACGTCCTGCGAATCGGACACAAGGATCTACCAATACATTCCTTACATTGAAAGGCTCACCTGATTGGTGAACAATCAAACGCCTGTTGTTGGCTAAACGTCATTAATAAAATTAAAGTTCTTGAGACATTTTTTCGATCCGGTTCGGCAGCTGCTGTTTAGGCCAAAAAAATCAACAATTGTAAATCATTTCAACAAATGTCGGCCACGTGATTTCCGGCGGCACGTGCTCCACCTTCACGACGCCTCCTTCTTCCGCTTCCGCCAACAGCTGCCGAAGCAGAAATTATTGGCAAAGCGTTTAAGCGCAATAAATATGTTTGATTGCTGGCAAGTTGCCCAAAAGATATACATCTAAAAATCAGTATATATATAAATACGGGGAGCGGGAATCACAGAGTCTGAGACTGAACATCCTGCGATCCTGTTCCTCCCGCAAAACTGAGCTCCGGGCTCAGCGCAAATTTGTAATTCACTTAAACGCGCAACTAAATCGCTTCAAGCTGTTTGCTCTGCACTTTTTAATAGTCGCGGATTGTTCTCTATGAATAGTTCACTGCGACAAATTCAATTCGCAAGGTACAATTTTAATCAATAATACTGTATAATAAAATAAAATTCCAAATCCGTTAGTCCCGCAAAAAAATTACTTTTGCTTCACCTGACCTGGAAAATAATGATCAAATTTTGGAATGTCATACCTCGTTAAATTCGTAATAAAATTTCCACTAGATTGGCATTAACAGCTATGAAATTTAAGAAATCATAATGTAACTCTTGAATACGTTATAAAATTTCCAATCGATTAGCATTCACTCCTGTGAAATTTCATTTGTGTAACCCCTTATAAATAGTGCAAAAATCTGTGAAACAATAAATTTTTCCAAATCCTACTGAATACTTAATAATTGTTAGCCAATTAATTCAAACAATTAAATGGAATCCAAATAACTTTTCCAATTTGAAGATAAAATAATATTTTTTGTGGTGCAGATTCCGGAAGCTCAACCGACGGAATTCTGCTGAATTACCCAGCCAGCCAAAGGGGCCACGAGCATTGCTCGACTAAATCAAACGAAAGCGCAGCTAAAACGCTTTTGTGCACAATTCGATTATTTACGTTTATTCTTTTTAAATGATATTTCCCGTCTCGCCATTGGGTTGGCGCAAGGAGCAAGAAACCAATTATTTGCGGAAGGAGTGGAGCCGGAGGGCAAGCAATTTGTAAGGAAATGAAGCGTGAGCAGAGCAGCTGGAGCCGGAAAATGTGCGCTGCAGTTGAAAGGCGAAAGGGTAAACAAAAGATCAAATTAATAGCCCCACAGCATCGATATCGATATGGGGGGCAAACACAGCTGCGATCAGAGGGGGCGGGGAAGTGTTTGCGGTGTAAGGTGTGTTGCAACATCTTGCAGTAGAAAAACATTTGAACAGATGCGGGAGCCTTAGCGGATCAGGGGAGTATAAAACACCGGAGGTAACACCTAGAAAGCATCACAACCACTTCCGGCCTTCCACAAGCAAGAGTTCCATCTGAGTTCCATCTGAGTTCCAATATGTCAGCTAAATACACCCTGATCTTTGCCTTGGCGGCTTTCTGCTGCCTGGTGGCATCCAATGAGGCAGCTGCTCAGCGAAGCCGAGTCCTGAGCACTCGCCACGGCATCGAACTGGTTGAGAAGTCGTCGGAAAGCAACGAGGAGACCGAGTTGGCCGCCCAGAAGCAGGAGCAGGAACTCCAGGAGGTGGAGGAGAAGCTTAAAGATAGGCTGCAAGGTCGCAGCGAGGATGACGCCGTGGCCACCGATGACAAGAAGGACAGCAAGGACACCGCCACCAAGGACAAGGACACCATTGTGCGGCCCAACAAGGACGACGCCCGTGCCCGCCGCATTGTTCGTGCCGGTCGTCGTGGCGGACGTCGCGGTGGTCGCCGTGGAGGACGCCGCGGTGGACGCAAGGCAGGTCGTCGCTCAGGACGCCGAGGTGGCCGCAGGCGCGGTGGACGTCGCGGTCGTGCCGGTGCCCGTCGCCGCACCTCCATCAAGAGGCGCTCCGGCAAGGGCAACAAGGCCTAAGAACTCCTTCTCCCACCAACTACTTAACTGCCCGATCCTCCGATTCGATACACTCAAATAAATATTTTTTTTAAAAAAACAAACACAAGCTGTTGTCTTTTTTATTTATTTTAATTTTTAATGCTATAAATCAGAGCTGGAAAAAGTTAAAAAAAAGAATCACAGAATTTGATCAGCACACTTAAAGCACTATAAGTTATAACTCTACAACTATATCACTAATTATTTTACTGCTTTTTATTATGATTATAAGAAAAATCATTTTTAGTAAGAATAGTTTTGTTTAAATTGATAAATATTTTCGCAAACCTTTCTATCTTAAAGTTTAATGATATTTGTAAGCCAATTAAACTAGTGCATTATGAGAAAAGAAGATATTACTACTGATATCTTCAGTAGTTCTCAAATCTGACAATAAATAATTTGTTCTTTTATACATTTATTGACTTTCGACGTTTCTTAAAAATTAAATCTAAATAAGCAGAAAATAACTATTAAATATATCGTTCGAAATGTAGATAAATTTATTCGTTGTAGCCCACAGCTCCAGTGTCTTTCAATGAAATAACCACTTACATAGCTCTGATACTATCAGTAATAAAACATTGTAAAGTAACAACATAGTACTATTATTGAGTTATAAATTATAAGTAATACATAGCAATTTGGGCGGCAATGTCAGATTAAATTGTTTTAAATAAGAGTGAGCCAAGCAGGTTGGAAATCAGGAAATTAAAGCTCCACATTATTAAACTCCGAAGCTGTATTAAAACAAAATGCTGCTTAAAGACCCCCATCACTGGCAGGAAACTTTCAACGGTCGCAGAAAAAACTGCAAAGAGGAGGAGAGTGTCGGGCCTGTTTCGCATTCTTTGCGATGTCCTGTCGTCCCTTCGTCCTTTCGCTCTGCGCCTCCCCTGCAGCGACGTGACATGTGACAAGAAGTTGCCGCGGCGCTGCTGCAACAGCTGCTGTCGCCTGCCGGCCGAGATCCTTGGTCCCGGCCATAGTGCCCCAAAAATGATGAATGTGCCAATGTTGCTGGGCTGTTGCCACATCCTCGCACTTGGCCCCGGCTACACTACACTCTGCCAAACTTCCTTGGCTTCAACGACTGCAGTCGGTGCGAAAGTTTTGCGGCCGCCGCCAAGTTTTGGGCCCAATCTGGGGATTATTAGACAACATTTGGTGCAACATGAGGCATACGCGACCACATTTGGTCGTGTAAGCTCCAGCTGGAACTCCGCCAGTCCATCAAGACAGAAGTTTGTCCAAGTGTAGGACTGTATGAATGGCAAACGAGCTGCTCGTCAGGCGACGGTTCACATTAAGCCACAAATAGTTTGTGGCCTGCAGGAAATTAAACTCATGTGAATGCAGCCCATCAGACACTGTCATGCTGCACATTTTGATGAGACTTTTCTATTGTCAACCATCCAGAATTCAGGGAGCACAGATAATGAGCCATGCGATGATTCAACATTGGGTTTCGCTTAACGTTTAATTAAGCCAGCACCATGCGATTTGTGCAGTGGGAAGTTTCGTAATTTCCTTTGCCTTCTGCAACATGTGTCCATATATTCATTGGAATTCACTAAGCGACACCGAGATGTAGACAAAAAGTTTGGTCTTTGTCTGAGTTCGTTCAGCCAACAATAGGCGGCTATTGTTTGGCTTTTAGCAGCAACAAAGCCAAAAGAGCCAAACAATTTAGATAGGACAATAAGCCAACGGGAAATTAAATTGGCTGCTCTACTTTACATAGTTGCCCTGCCCTCTCATCACCCGAGCAAAGAAAGCTGTTTAAAACGAAATTAAATTAAACTTTCAAACGAATATATGTACAAACGGTCAGGGAAAAGTTCGAGTGGAGGCATAATTATCATTATTTATACATTAACTGGTCTTATTTTTAATCTGCCTTATGAACATTAAAAAAAGGAATTTTAAATAATTCAAAGGAACTGTATGACTTTTGTGTTATCTTATTTGTTAGGCTAACCTTGAGTGCTTATAGCACATCTCTCAAACAAATAGACATTAAATCTTTTTCAATATAATATTTATTAAATCTTATTCAAAATTAATGGCTTTCAGATGACAACCAAAAATATAATCATTGCATTTAAATTGCGAACGAATCCTATACATAAATTCGGAGTAAGCCAACGATGTCATGCTCAATAAGCACCACAAATAAACTGAGAATATTATTCAATAAATTGAATATTCCACAATGGTTCCCAGCTCGATTGCCTTCCTTGAATGGGACTTAATACAAATCCGCTGAACTAGATGAAAACAAAAATCTGTTATTCAGATTGACTTGCCACAAAGGCCAACCTCGAGGCCTATGAAAACGCATATTTGCAGTTTCTCTTTTTTTATTAAATACTTTTTTAAGCCCACTGTTACTTTGGCAAGCAACAACACAGCCGAGAAAATGTTCGCAGAGGAGGGGTAGAAAAATGGAAAATCACTTGCCGATTTTCAATTGAGCGGCGGAAATGTAACGGAAATAAATTTACATAAATACAATATGGTGCGTGCTTGTTGGCGCCATTTTATTTGCACAACATATAAGAACGTACGGTTGTGTGTGTATGTGTGTGAATGAAAATGGACACATACACATTCACAAGAGGCAACATATTTGCACCGAAGTGCGTATTGATTTGCGGCATATGCATGTGAAATGTTTTCCTCGCTTTTCGATACAAAAAAATGGGAATTTAAAATGTGCCTTGCCTTTGGCCTATATGATGGGTGCACCTTCGCGTGCCCACTTTGTTTAATGCCGGCAAATATTTTCAGCACTTCGTGACCAAATTTCGGAGCGCACTATCTCAAGTGTAAATAGTGCACACACCTGCCTTAACTGCCATTCGAATGGCGTCAGGTATTTTTTTGCATGCACCTGGCATTATTTGCATAAGATAAAAGATGAAAAACAGACCTGAGTTAAGGCGCTCCTCCTCCAAGTGCTTACCAGAAACCAAAAAACGTCCTAAATGTATTTTCCATAAAAGCCAAGCAAATCCCAGAGTCTCCCAAAGAAATGGCGGCGGCGATGGTGGAACCTGATAAAGACAACACATATTGAAGGGGTCCCCGAGTGCAGAAACTTGGGGAATGGGAGCGCTGTCGCCATTTTGTAGCATTTGCAACTTATATGCATATGTGGTCGAGGAGCCAACCCGGCGGAGTACAAGAAAACGAGCAAAACTCGAGACCGCCAACGTGCTCTGAAATTACATTTTCCCAGCACGAATATTTCCCACGACCAACTGCACGAAAATGCGCCACGATTTTTTCGTTGTTCCCACATTCTGTATTTACCCTCTTCCTTCACAATCGACGTGGCTGCACAGTGAGACATAATAGTCAGCTCCGAAACGCTTGATATTGTCATCACTTTCAGGGAAAATCTAGGGTATACACAATTATTTGTATTTAATTGCAATTTATTGGTTTTTAAAATCGTTGAAAGTGGTCTTAAATAATTTAAAGTTTAAGATTAAATAAATAAAGAAAATGTAATACAAAGAAAGTTGACTTAGAACTCACTGTGCAGTCTTAGTTTAAATGGCATAGAAATCGGTGTTACCACTCGTAAGTTTGCCGTATTTTACAAATGCATTTGACATAAATTTTAAAAGGCTTAAGTGGCGAAGTTCCTGCCTTAGGCGAGTCCTGGCTTGATAAGAGGACGTCGAGTGGGGGAGTTGGGCCTTTAAATCCTGGTTGGGTGAAGACATAAAATATAGCAATTACGGCAAAGATCATAAATTATGCAAAGCCCGGCAACAAGTGTGCGATAAGCCCAGAAACGGGGCCTGCGGACTGAAAATATAGGTGGGAGTTTGTCTTGACAATCATCACTCACTCGCAGCACTCACCACTCATCGCGAATTGAAATCATCCGGAGAGTGTCTTCCGCCAGTTTGCTGTATCCACATACCATATGTATATATACAGAAAAATGGGGAAAAGCGAGCGCCGACACTCTAAGAACTGAGTGCACGTCGTTTATCAACTGCCAGCGGAGAATGCATTCTATTTTAGCCACCTCCACCAGTTGACAGTGGCAGTGACATGCAAATCGGGTTTATCCTTCTGCCCAGGCATTAAGTGAATGCGATTTTCTTTCAACAAGACAATTTAACAGAAAAATTCATGCTCGACAGCTTGCCAATGCGTGGGGGCCAAGAAGGGCATTGCAATTGCAGTTATGAATAAATACAGATAGGAACTTGAGGCTTTCACTTCCCGCCGCTTAAGTGCCACCCCCATTTTTTCCCTTTTTTAGCCGCCTCTAGGCCTCTCATGCCACCCATTCCGCCCACACATTGGCGTGTGGTGAGGCGTGTTATCGTCGGATTTGCATGCTTGCACAAGCCATAAATGTCAATTGGCATGGCAAGCGGGATTTCGAGGAGCCAACGAGCAGGGGCAAGTGGAAAATGGCAAGTGGCTGCGAAAGCACATAAGTGGCGAGGAAATGAAAAGCGCCGCAGCTGGTGTCATAATTATAGATGGCTATCACTTTATTAAAGCGATAAGAAAATCCACTTAAAGGAGTAAATAAAAATATCGCTTCAACTGGTGAAGGTAGTCAACTTGCAACTTTATTTTGCTGAATAAGCTGTGAAAGAGAAATCGAGAAAAACACAATTTGATATAATGAAATATACATTTTTTAAAATGTTAAATGCTTTAAAATTTAAGTTACAATTGTAAGGCCACCAGCAAAAGCTAAGATATATTTAACTAGTTATCTATAACATTTAAAGTTTGTTTATTTTATGTAAAGCTAACTTACAATTAACACCAATTTTATTACGAAGTCATATTTAGATAGAAGCTTAATATAAATTTGATTATTGTTGCTTTAAATTTTAGTTAAGGTTCACCTTAAATAGTATATACAATCGAAGGCTTCTCACCATTTTTGACTTATAATTCATTGAAACCCGGGAACTCCAATTGAACCCCAGACTGGCGTTTCCCATTCCATCTGATGTAAATTTGTTTCTATCACCCAAACTCAGAGTGGCTCGGAGAAAATCCCTGCAGAATGAAC